TACACTTAAAGAGCATAAATTAAAACAATTCATCAATTAATTTATTAGCAGACCTGTACTGAAATTATTATTTGTGTTTTCCCAACCCTTTTTTAAACTTACCAGGTTAAATAAGACATCTCTGAGTTAGAGTAAAGAAAGGATGTATTAGTATAGAATACACCATGCCATAATAGCAAATTAACCCTGTGAATCGGTCAGAATTCAGTCAGAGCAGAACCACTGAGTGTATCAAGGGATTTTTTACAAAGAATTGACTTTATATAATTGTCAAATCTAGTTAACCAATCTCTCTAAAGCTGTTGTCTTCACAGTTAATACTGAATCCATCTTAAAGTCCATAGGGTGGGCAGGTAGGAAAGGAAAATGGATATAAGATAAGGGAGAGCAAGCATAAGCTGAACTGGAGTTCATGACGATAGACTGAAAAGAAACCTGTGTCAGTTCTTAATGCCTCTGACGTTGGTGCTAATTATGTCCTGCAGAGGTTGGAGCCCTTTGTCAGAGAGCTGAATGCACTTACCCAGCCCAGGAATTGGAGAAGCTGAAGGAGGCACTAAGGGAACATGGAATGAATGCTGACCAGCCACTCCTCACTCCAAGGAGGTGAGTGAGCAGATAGTGACAACATATGTGGGATACAAAATGACTACAATTTCACTTCCACTCTCCAAATCATGCAAAAGAATCTGTCTTGTGGCCCACCCTAATCAGAAACAGGAACACAACTCAGAGGAGGGTAGTTCAGCCTAGCCAAGCTGACACATTAATAAGTTTCCACACCCCGGAAACACAGTGGATTAATACACATACTTTGTTCATGCAAAGTCCAAAGGAGTCAGCTAGCCCTCTATGTTAATCTGGGATTTGTAGTCTCTGGTATTGCTTGGACAGAGGGGGCAAAGGGGAGGCTCATCAGCTATTAACTGCCTTATCTCAGTGGTGCATCATTCCTGCTTACTAGCCATTGGTCACTACCTAATCACATGGCCTTAAAAAGCTACAGGGGAGGCTGAACAATGTACTCCTGTCCGCCTAGAAAAAAATGAAGTTGAATTGGGTGAGCACATAGGATTGTCTCTGCTACACAGGTGTAATTAATAATCATTTAATAAATCTTGGTTAAGACTTTTTGGTATGCTTCCCAGAAATTGAGAAAGTGAGTTTCTTCAGTGACTATACAAAAATCCTTTTACCAGCCAGGTGGCTTCCAGTATTTTGCTGTCAACAAAATTGAAGTATTGAATTGAGTTTTAATAATAATTTAAATTTTTACTGACAGATCACTACATAAGTTATGACATAACAACCTGGAAAGAATCCAAGAAGTTGCATAGTATTGCTGTGAGACAACTTTCATTCTTATACAAACAAGTCTCCTCAGTACTAATATATATAAAAATATGACCTAGAAATGAATTTTAGGCTGAATTCTGTTTCATTCTAGCAACGAACAAGTAATATTTATGCATGGTATACAAATTATTTTTTAATTATTCAGTGATTTAAAGTAGTTCTAACAAAATTGTTGATGTTTAAGCACTGTTTATCAAAATGTTAATGTATTTACTGTGTGACCAGTTACATTTAATAGCAATTATAATGATAATTTAATGCAGAAGGGTTTTTTACTATTATTTCAAGCCTGCAATCAGAGAAAATAAAAATTATAATATAACATGCAGAAGAGAAATATAAGGTTAGCAATAAGATTTTCAAACAAATTCTTTGGAGGAAATGGAATGGAAATATGAGTTCAGGGAGAAAAAAAGAAATATAAAAGTTCTTCCTATTAAAAAACAGCTTATTCATGTATATTTTTAAAGAATGACAGTATAAAACTGCTGTTTAAATTTCATTGAGAAGAGTAATGCAACAGTTTTATTTTTAAATGTCCATATTTATAATATACTGAAAATTACATTCTTTTCAACTATTTAAATTTAGGCTGAAAAGTTTTAGATATTTGAAGAAGTAATTACATAATGCTTCAAAATTCTTTTGGGGGTACACAAGCAACAAGTTAAAGATGGTTACTCTGGATCACTATGGTGACTGCAGAAAGGGCCTTGGTATCTGTCTTGCCAATGGGTTTCAGCCCTGGGCAAGTTCACTATGGATTCAGTGTGACCAAAGAAATGACAGTAGAATGTTCTTGGGGTGAAAGGGTTATGTTAAAGATGGTTACTCTGGATCACTATGGTGACTGCAGAAAGGGCCTTGGTATCTGTCTTGCCAATGGGTTTCAGCCCTGGGCAAGTTCACTATGGATTCAGTGTGACCAAAGAAATGACAGTAGAATGTTCTTGGGGTGAAAGGGTTATACCCAACTTTATTTCCACAGTGGCAGGTCAGTCACTAAAATCCTGTTCACTCAGAGTGAGTCTGCATGCAGCAGGCTGGTCTCTGCCCTCTGGGCCTCTCTGCCTGCACAGCCGTCCTCTAGGCCTCTTGGCTGCACAGCATCCTCTGGGCCTCTGTCCTCGGTGCTCCCACCACTCCAGCTTCTGCTCTGCTCTCCTGCTGCCTTGCAGCTATGCCACCGTGTCACCCAGAGCACTGGGCAGAGCTCTTTATGTAGAGTCAATGACATATTGCCCACACGTGTGTAGTGAGCTAGCCAACGAAGGTCAGGTGGGAATTCTGGCCACAGGAACTTTTATTTTATCCACAGTATCCCAAATGCCAGATTTGCAAGTCTGTGATCTCCCAAGAAGTCCTTGGGCTAGATGTGAAAGGACTGGATTTGGAAAATGGGAGGGTGGGTGGGGAGGGAGGGAGAAGGGGATTGAGGGGTATTATGTTTAGTACACATGGTGTGGGGGGTCACAGGGAAAACAGTGTAGCCTAGAGAAGGCAAATAGTGAATCTGTAGCATCTTACTACACTGAGGGACAATGACTGCATTGGGGTATGGGTGGGGACTTGATAATATGGGTAAAATGTAGTAACCACATTGTTTTTTCATGTGAAACCTTCATAAGAGTGTATATGAATCATACCTTAATTAAAAATTTTAAAAAAAAGAAATAAAGATGGAAACATTAAAAAAAAAACTCCATAACATTTTTCACAGTGGTTGCACCAGTAACATTACCATCAATGGTGCACAAGGGTTTCCTTTTCTCCACATCCTTGCCAACACCAGTTATCTTTTTGATAACAGCCATTCTAACAGGTATAAGGTAATCTCTTTTTGGTTTTGATTTGCATTTCCCTGATTAGTGATATTGGCCATCTATTTTTGTACTTGTTGAACATCTGTATGTTTTATTTGGAAAAAGTCTATTCAGATCCTCTGCCTATTTTTTAATTGGATTGTCTTTTGCTTTTGGGTTTTGAGTTCTTCATATATTTTGGATTTTAACCCCTTATAAAATATATGATATGCAAATATTTTCTTCCATTCAGTTCAGTAGGTTGCTTTTCATTGTGTTGATAATTTGTTGTGCTGATACTTTTTAGTTTGATATAGTCTCACTTGTTTATTTTGCTTTTGGAGTCAGATCCAAAAAATCAGCAAGATCAATTAATGTCAAGGAGCTTACTGTTTTCCTTTAGGAGTTTAATGGTTTCAGGTTTTATCCAAGTCTTTAGACCATTTTGAGTTAATTTTGTGTACAGTGTAAGATAGTCCAGTTTTATTCTTTTATTTGTGTCTGTCCAGTTTACCAACATCATTTACTGAAAGAGACTGTCCTTTTTCTGTTCTATATTTTTGGGTCCTTTGTTGTAAACTAATTGAGCATACATGTGTGGGTTTAATTCTATCTGTAAATTCCTTTGAGTAATAGACAATTTGACAATATTAATGTGTCCAATCTATGAGCATAGAATATCTTTGAATTTATTTGTCTTTTTCAGTTTCTTTCATCAGTGTCTTATAGAGTTCAGTGTACAGGTCTCTCACTTCCTTGGTTAAATTTATTCCAAGGTATTTTATTCCTTTTGATGCAATTATAAATGGAGTTGTGTTAATTTCTCTCAGTTTGTTAGTAGTGTGTAGAAACACAACAGATGTTTATATACTGATTTTGGTATCCTGTAACTTCACTGAATTTCTAACAGCCTTTTGGTGAAGTCTTCAGGGCTTTTTATATATAATGTCACCTGCAAAATAATGACAGTTTTGTTCTTTCAGATTTGGATGTCTTATTTCTTTTTCTTGTCTAATTGCTCTGACTAGGACTTCCAATACTATGTTAAATAAGACAGGCATGAGTGAGCATCCTTGTCTTGTTCCTGATCTTAGAGGAAAGCTTTCGGCTTTTCATTATTGAGTGTGATGTTACCTGTGAGTTTATCATATATGGCCTATTTTATGTTGAGGTGCATTCCTTCTATACCTGCTTTGTTGGGAGCATTTATCATGAATGGATTGAATTTTGTCGAGTGCTTTTTCTGGACCTATTGAAATGATCATGTGATTTTTAGCCAGCATTTTATTAAAGTGGTTCATCATGAGTGATTTGCAGATGATAAGCCATCTTTGCATCCCCAGAATAAATCCCAATTGATCACTGCCTACAATCCTTTTTAATAAACAGAGATGGCTAGTGACTAAGTGTCTATGTGACTCTTGCTGAGTGCAGTGGCAGTTGGGAGTGGGAAAGGAGGAGTGGTGGAGTCAGCACTGCAGGTCTAAGTTTGAATCCTATAGGCTTCACTTACCAATGTCGTGAGGTTTGGTCCGAGCCTGTCTTCTCATCTATTAAGTGGGAATGACAATGTCTTCCTCACATGTTGTCAATAGGATTCAGTAAGTTAACATATGAAAACTCTTGAGAGTCAAATGTTTGTTGTTAAACAAGAATGTTAAATGTAGTACACACATATACCACTTCTTTCAAAACAGAAATCCACCCCTAAATTTGACCTGAGGTATGACCTGGAAGGCACCAGTGTACTCACAAAACAGTAAAACCCTTTCTAGCCCCCAAATGTGATTAGTCTGCCTTGCTATTCCCACTCCAGTCCAAGAGAACAACCCAAAATGCAAATAGTTTCCCACCTTGTTATTTTATTAGAAGCATATTTACATTCTTGCAGTTAACTTTGCAGAGAACATTTTACAAAAGTTTTGTATAAAGTTTGGAAACTACATAAAAATAACTTCTGTCTTTCATAAAGGGAAAATATAAGTTAGTTATATTTACTCTGCCAAAATTTGACAGAAAATGGGAAATAGTTCCATTTTCCATACAAAGGAAACATTAGCACAGGGCATGAAGAATACTGCATGGGCCTTCTCAGTGAGGCATTGCACATTGGCTCAATTATGAGGCTGAGAGACCCCAGTCAGCCCCCATCCAGAAAGGGCAGGGGAGTTTGAGCTTGGGCAACACTGAGCAGGAAAGCAGCAACTACTTGAACAAGATTTCAGTGTGAATGACAAACCAAACAAGGAAATGATCAGTGACTTTCACCTAATACACCTAATACAGCAGCATTTCACCTAATACTCCTTCTCATACCCCAGGCTGCAAAGGCAGTACTATAGACAAAGCCCAAGTTAGTCCAGCCTGGCCATTTGCAAGTGCTGGCCTCACCTGGTAGAACTGGGTCTATGCTGTGTAGTTATGCTGCTGTTAGTTCATGTTTTCCCAGCACCTGTGCACCAAAAAGAGTAAAAGGGGACAATAGTTTCATTTTCTCATCAGTGTGAGACTTGAAAACTGTCCCATCTCAGTCAAATACTGAAGCAGGCAAGCTGATTGCTCATTAACTTGAGAGGGCCACTGCTTTCCCACAGCCCCCAGAGCATCTTTACAGCATATGTAAGCCTTAGGAACCCTAAGTCTCTTCCCCTGTTGAATAGATACCCTCTCTTCCCAAGGTTTGGTTATAACCAGTGCCAAAAAAACTTCCACGGAGTTGCTTTAGGAACCTTAACCTTTAGGAGTGAAGATGGAGAAAGTCCTCCTCGGATGTGCTAACCACTCTATTACAAGCAAAATAGTACCCAGACTCAGTATCCATATGATTTTCTCAAAATCACCTTCAGTTTTCTGTTTTAATGCAGATGTCTTCCTGAAGAAGCAATTCATTTATATTTGTTTCAAGTAAGAAATGAAGGTGGGAAAAAAAGCTTTCTTTGTAATCTATACTGTGCAGCCTGTGGAGATCAGAATCTGTGAGAGGCCCTCTTTGAGTAACCTGAAGGCCTAGGATTCCATCTGAGATACAGAAGCTTTGCTTAAGCTGTGTTCTCAGGAGCAGAAAGCGTAATGTTCTCCCTGATACTTCTTCCTAAATAGAAGGCCCAGTGGCTATCAGCCTCAGTCTAAAGTGTAATGCTAGACTCCTGAACTAGGAGGAGCACAGGGCAGAGGAAAACAGCCTTCCCAGATCACCTGCAGACAGGATGTGAAATTGTGTGGTGAGGCATTTATCCCTGAAATCCCATGTGGGGACCAAAAGGCAGAGCAGCAAACATGTGCCATCTTGTGCCAATGCCCAACATGCTCCATACCAACGGCTTCACCTAACATGCTCAGTGGCTCAGGCTCAGACAGTGAACATGTTCTGGCACAAGAGACCCAGAGCAGAGGCAAGCCTGGGTAGTGCCAGGGGGCCAAGCCCTGTGTGGGTGCAGGAAGAGGGGACAGGACCAAGATGGCACAAACACCCAGGACCAGCAGAATGAACAGTTCAGGTTTTTCCACATTTCACGATTGTACACCCAGCCTTGACTCAGAAGAAAGCTAACTGGTGGAAGGAGGGCACCCCCTGAGCAACTAGCTGCAGGCCAGGCTCCACTGAGAACTGAAATGGTTATTAGGAACCAAGATTCTTGTCTGACACTGCAAGAAATGACTGAAAAGCCACCAAGAATTGCAACATGAACAAGCTCATGACCTGACTGACTTCAGCAAGACCACTTTGTGCCCACAAATAGCAAAACTGATGTTTTGGCAAACAGGAGGGGCCTTGAGGCCACAGCACACCCATTCTTCTTGGACCCTGAGCCCACCAACAGCCAGGAGGTTCTGCAGCTCAGAGAGAACATTCATTATGATCAGACAACACATAATAAAACTTCACCCTCCACTAACTGAGTGATAAGTCAGAAACACTGGGGATGGGGGGGGTCTGTCGGGCACAGCTGGAGTGGCACAAGGAAGGGGCTGTTATTCAAGGGGGGTTGTCCAAGCTGGCATGGAAGCAAGAGGGAAGGGGGTCCTGAGTTACTTGTTCACAGAGAATGTGGGGGGACCTTGGAGGCCCACCAACCTGCCAGCCCCGGCCCAAGGTGATTGTTAAGAAGCATCCGCAGAACTGTAAGGGAAGAACTTGGTGGCCTTGTTTGGGGTGGTGGGGTTCGGGCCTTCTGTCTCCTCATTCAGTTTGAAGAACATTTCCTGCTCCCGCTTCTTCTGGTTCAGATCTTCTTCCAAAGCCTAGAACAGAAGGAGCAGATAGAGCTCACTCAGATTTTATGGGGCACAGGCCTCTCAACCTCAGGACCCCCACGAAAGTGTCCTTGTCTGGAAATTTCCCTTCCAGGCCTTAGTGCTTGGGTAACTTCATCTTCCCTCTTTCCTTTCCCCAGCCCATCACCCAAAATCTGACTACCACCTCCTCTTCCCTCCTGCCACAGCCATACGGGGGATTCCTATGGGCCGAGGGCTAGTTTGGGGAAATGCCAAACTTGACAGTATGTTGTGGGGGAGGGGGGAGTACAGATGCAAAATGGCTAGGAGGAAAACAGGAAAGTGGAGAACCCTAGGTAGAAAATGAAGCGAGATTTAACAGTGGAGGGTAGCAGAGATGTTCGAGTTACGTAGTACTCTTAATGCGAGCATTGTCCCACAAATCACCCAGGGAGTTTTTTTCCAACTACATGTGCCTTCAAGCCACCCCCTGAAATTCTGATTCTGAAAATTTGTGAAGAACAGGTTCCTATATGTTGTAAAATTACATCAGGTGCTTCTGACAGAGTATACACATGTCAAAATTCATGAAGCTGTACACTGAGATCAGTGCATTTTGTAGGCACCTCAGAAAAAACAGGTAACTCAGAGTCTAATTGACAAGCAATGTGAGAGCTTCCCTTGGGCACACACAAATTTATCTAGACAAGTTGGATCCTAGAGAAAAATTTCTTGATGATCTCTAATAATAAGCATCAAATAAGAAAAAAAGCAGAATGGGAAAAACATGAGCTTTTACAATCAGACAGAATTCAGCTTTATTACCAGTAGTGTAGCCTTTGCATGTTACCCTTCTTCTCTGTTTCCTCATCTATAAAATGGCAATATCACTACCTACCTAGTAGGGCTAATAAAAGGTTTAAATTTAAAACTAATGGGTCATGATTACTTAGTACATCATATAGGTCAGGCACTATGCTAAGTGCATTGCATCCTGTGAAATGTTAAATAATAAGACTTGAATATCAGAATTACACTCCCTGATCCATGGGCTGCAGAATGGATGTTGTGTAATCTCATTGTACACCTCTATCAGAGCTCTTGGTGACCATGTGCATTATCAATGAGCAGTAATATTTTGAAAGGAATCCCATTCTGAGCAGTAGGTCTCAACAGTGGGTTTAAAATATTCAGTAACCCATGTTGTAAACAGATGTGCTGCCATCCAGGCTTTGTTTTTCCATTTATAGAGCACAGGCAGAATACATTTAGCATAATTATTAAAGGCACAGGATTTTCAGAATGGTAAGTGAGCTATGGCTTCAACTTGAAGTCATCTGCTGCATTAGTCCCTAACAAGAGAGTCAGTCTGTCCTTAGAAGCCAGGCATGGACTTCTCTATAGCTCTTAAAGTCCTACATGGTATGGTCTTCAATATAAGGCTGTTTCATCTACATTGAAACCCTGTTAGTGTAGCCGCCTTAACTAGGTCTTACGGATAACCTCATGCAGCTTTGATACCACCACTGAGTGCTTTACTTCACACTTTTATGTTATGCAAATGGCTTCCTTAAACCTCATGGACTGCCTTTGCTAGCTTCAAATTTGTCTTCTGCAGCTTCCTCACCTCTCTTAGCCTTTACAGAATTGAAGAGAGTTAGAGACTTATTCTGGATTAGGCTTAATATGTGGGTAGTTTGATCTTTTATGCAGACCACTAAAACCTCCATATCAGCAGTAAGGCTGTTTTGCTTTATCATTTGTGTGCTCATTGGAGTAGCACTTCTCATTTTTTTTTGGTTGGTTTTATAATTTTTTTAATTAAAGTATCATTGATATACAATTTTATATTGGCTTCACATATACAACACAGTAAGTTCAACGATTACCCATATTATTAAATCCTAACCCCCACTAGCATAGTTATCACCTGTCAACATAGGAAGATGTTACAGAATCACTAGCTATATTCCCCATGCTCTACTACCATACTCGTAACCAGCTTATATTATAATTGAGAATTTATTCCCCAAACCCTCCCCTATGGTAACCACCAGTCACTTCTCAGTGTCCGTAAGTCTACTGCTGTTTGTGCATTCTATTTTGTTTTGCTTTTAGATTCCACAAATAAGTGAAATCATATGGTATTTTTCTTCCTCCGTCTGGCTTATTTCACTTAGCGTAATACTCTAGGTCCACCCATATTGTCACAAATGGCAGGATTTCTTTCTTTTCTATGGCTATATAATGTTATACTGTGTATATGTACCACATCTTTTTTATCCATTCATCTACTAATGGACATTTTGGTTGCTTCCATATCTTGGCTATCGTAAATAATGTGGCAATAAACTAGGAATGCATATATCTTTTCAAGTCATAGATTTTGTTTTCTTTGGGTAAATTCCTAGAAGTGGAATTACTTGGTCGAATGGTATTTCTATCCTTAGTTTTTTGAGGAACCTCCATACTGCCTTCCATAGCAGCTGCACCAGTTTACATTCCATCAACAGTGGAGGAGGGTTCCCTCTTCACATCCTTATCAACACTTGTTCCTTCTTGATACTGGCCATTCTAACTGGTGTGAGGTGATAGCTCACTGTGGACTTGATTTGCATTTCCCTGATGATTACCAGTGTGGAGCATCTTTTCATGTGCCTGTTGGCTATCTGTATTTCTTCTCTGGAGAAATGTCTGTTCAGGTCCTCTGCCCATTTTTAATTGGGTTATTTGTTCTTTTGGTGTTGAAGTATGTGAGCTCTTTATGTATTTTGGATGTTAACCCCTATCAGATAAGTCATTTATAAATATATTCTCCCATACTGTAGGTTGCCTTTTTGTTCTGTTGATGGTGACCTTTGCTGTACAGAAGCTTTTTAGTTTGATATAGTCCTATTTGTTCATTTTTAATTTTGTTTGCCTTGACAAGGGAAATGTGTCCAGGAAAAAACTGCTCATGCTTATGCTGAGATTTTTGCCTATGTTTTCTTCTGAATTTTATGGTTTCATGTCTTATATTTAGGTCTTTAATACATTCTGAGTTCACTTTTGTGTATGGAGTTAGACAATAATCCAGTTTCATTCACTTGCATGTAGAAAGCTGTCCAGTTTGCCCAACACCAGTTATTGAAGAGACTGTCTTTCTCTGTTGTATATTCATGGCTCCTTTATTGTATATTAATTGACTATATATGTGGGAGTTCCATTGTTCTATGGGTCTGTTCTTGTAACAATACCATACTGTCTTGATTACTGTAGTTTTGTAGTATAGTTTGTATTCAGGGACCATAGCAATCCCAGCTTTTTTGTTCTTTCTTAGGATTGCTTTGGCTATTCAGGGTCTTTTGTGGTTCCATATGAATTTTAGGATGGCCATTTGGACAGTTATTTTTCCTATCCATGAGCACAGGATAGATTTCCGTTTATTTGTGTCATCTTTACTTTCTCTCATGAGTGTCTTATAGTTTTCAGAGTACTGGTCTTTCACACCTGCTTGGTTAGGTTTATTCCTAGGTATTTTATTATTTTTGATACAATTGTAAATGGGATTGTTATCCTGATTTCTTTTCACTGTTAGTATACAGAAACACAACAGATTTCTGTGTACTAATTTTGTATCCTGCAACTTTGCTGAATCCAGTTAATTAGTTCTAATAGTTTTTTGATGGAGTCTTCAGGGTTTTCTATGTATAATATCATGTCATCTGCAAATAGTGACAGTTCTACTTCTTCCTTACCAATATGGATGACTCTTTTCTCTTTATCTTGTCTGCCATGGCTAGGACCTCCAGTACTATGTTGAGTAAAAGAGGTGAGAGTGGACATCCTTGTCTTGTTTCCCATCTTAGAGGAAAAGCTTTCAGGTTTTAGCCATTGTATGATGTTAGTTGTGGGTTTGTTGTATATGAACTTTATTATTTTGAGATATGTACCATTTATATCCATTTTGTTGAGCGTTTGTATCATGAATGGCTGTTGAATTTTGTCAAATGCCTTCTCAGAATCTACTGAGATGATCATGTGGTTTTTATCCTTCTTTTTGTTAATGTGGTGTATGATGTTGATTGATTTACAAATGTTGTACCATCCTTGCATCCCTGGAATAAATACCACTTTGTTGTGATGGATGATCTTTTTGATGTATTTTTGAATTTGGTTTGCTAATATTTTGTTGAGGATTTTTCATCTATTTTCATCAGGGATACTGCTCTGAAATTTTCTTTTTTTGTAGTGTGTTCAGTTTTGGTTTAACAGTGATGCTGGCCTCATAGAATGAGTTTGGAAGTATTCCCTCTTCTACTTTTTGGAATACTTTAAAAAGGATGAGTATTAGCTCTTCTTTAAAAATGTGTGGTATAATTCATATGTGAAGCCATCTGGTCCTGCACTTTCGTTGCTTGGGAGTTTTTGATTATCAGTTCAATTTGGTTACTGGTAATTTGTCTGTTCAGATTTTCTGTCTCTTACTGGGTCAATCTTGGAAGGTTGTATTTCTCCTGGAACTTGTCCATTTCTTGTAGGTTATCTAATTTATTGGCATATAATTTTTCATAGAATCCTCTAATAATTCTTTCTATTTCTGTGGTATCTGTTGTGACTACTCCTTTTTCATTTCTGATTTCTCTTGATAAGTCTGGCCATGGGTTTATTTTGTGTATTTTCTCAAAGAACCAGCTCTTGGTTTCATTGGTTTTTCCTGTTTTATTCTCTGTTTCATTTATTTCTGCTTTCATTTTTATTATGTCCCTTGTTCTACTGACTTTGGGTTGCATTTGTTCTTTTCCTAGCTTGTGAATTTGCACTATTTGTTTTGGATTGTTCTTTTTCTTGAGGTATGACTGTATCGGTATGTACTCACTCTTAGAACTGTTTTTGCAGTGTCCCACAAATTTTGGACTGTTGTATTTTTGTTTTCATTTGTTTCCATGTACTGCTTGAGTTCTGTTTTAATCTGTTCATTGCTACATTAACTATTTAGAAGCATGTTGTTTAGCCTCCAATTTATTTTTGGTTTCATACCACTGTAG